TGTAAATGAGTACGCATACAATTTGTTATGGTTGCTCCTAGGACTATCCTAGTTCCTTTTGTTATTATTATTGTTGTTGTTGTTGTTGTTGTTGTTGTTAAAACCTGTCCTACCCTTAGGTGTTACCAAGGTTTTATGATTTCACTTCTCCCTTTTTCACATTTGAAATATAAGCATACTAACAAAATAATATCTAAGACCAGGATGGAAACTTTGGTCTCCTCTGGCTCTCTCTTGTAGATGTTTCCATTATCTTTGCTGCATCCAAAATACTTTCTCAACATGACAGTGTTGGAAAGGAATGAGGGACCAGATGTGTGTGGAGCATCCAGACAGGGAGGAAGGTTGAGCAGATCACATATGCTGCTTTTCCCAGACACCGGTCTTTACTCTAATCTGCAGTTTCTTTCAAAAATGTCAGGCAGGAACTGGAAGACGCTGACTACGTTTTCATGCACTTAAGTAACCAGGTTACTGAGAGAAACTTAAGTGCATGTAAACGCAGTCACTCTGTGCTGGTATCGTTCTTCTCCAGTGTTAGCTTTGGCACCTCACTTTGATTTTGTTTTAGTCTTACTCTTTGGGAGAAGATCTGTTTTTTGTTTCATTATTACTAGATTAGTATACAGTAATGGTCAACAAAAACTAGAGCCATTTTAGTCCAGTTTTGTCAGTGAAATGTTGCTCTTGTTTTAACTTTTTAAAAAGTCTTACATCCAATGCACATTCTGAAGCTACAGCCGTTGCCATATTTGATATGCACAGATATGGTTACAGCTGTTCTCCTCTACCTATTCAGATTCCTGGGCTGCTTTTGGTTGCAAGTCTGCCCCCACACCTAGGTCTGGCAAATGTAAAAGCCTGAATGATTTTATATCTCTACAATTTTTACCTTTACCTGTGGTTGTTTTAGTTTCGGTAGCAGCAGTATGGCAGTGGAATAGTGGGGCATTCAAGGGAAGTTCACATAACACAATGGCACATTTCGTTTGTGTCGCAGGCATTCAAGAAAAAAATTGTGTGATTTGAGTAATGGGGGCCTGTGCCCCAGTAGAGCTTTATGTCTAGCCCCTGCTTAACAGTAAAACAACAACCACATCTGTACTATTCTCACTTATGTTGTACAGTTGAGGAATCTAATCCAGCAAAAGCTTTCACACTCTGTAATATATTAATACTTCACAGTCAAATTAAGGAGGTACCTGTATGTATACTTTGAAAATGTATGAGACATACAGCTAAACTGGTTAATGTGAAGTTACTGCCATATGAAATACGACACCTATCCCTTCACTAATATCTCCAACACCTGAACTTTGAGAATTGCAGAGATTATAAAATGTATTCTTGTTGTATTTAATGTAAGGCAGAAGAACTAAGCAGGAGAGCAAAAGGGCCAACGTAGATAAAATCCTGAATGTTCATGTCTAAATCCAATATTCATCTGCTGCACAGACTCCCATTAGACACAGACTCCATTTAACATTACCATGATGACAAATTATGATTATTACAGTGGTGTCCACACCACCATATTGCCTTCTTATCAGTACAAGCGGTCTTGTACTTGGCTCCATGCTGAGCCCCTAAAAGCCACTGCCACACACCCTTGCCTCACAGGGGCCTCAGGGAGCCTTTAAAGAGCCTTTAAAAATATGAGTAATTTGAGAAATCCGACACCCATTTGATGCATCCAGGTAGGCCGCCAAGCACTGGGCTTGTAAAACAGGGAGGGTCCAGATGAAAGACAGGCCGCGACAGTATCACTAGAAAAATCTCAGTCCCTCAGTGTAGATGAACAGGTGCTGCATGACATGTGGGTTCATAAAAAACTGCTGAACACTGTAACACATGCTATCCCCCCACCATACTGCCTCTGTCTCTGCACTAGCAGGCTTTGTCTTCAGAAAGGCCTTTGGGCATGGTGTTGTTTTGAAAGGTCTTTGAGGAAGAGATAGGAAGAATGTGGTGGAATGTCTGTAGCTTTTAAATGCATATGTAGTTCAGGGGTATGCAGAGTTTCTGGTTTATGTATGGAGACATAGCTATACCACTGTCCAAGAGCATAATTGTTTTTAGGTTTTCAAAGTGAAGTTTCTAAGTAGGTAATTTTTTAGCCCTGCTGATATTGAATGGCATTGATTTGGGTCACTCTGAAATAAAGTAGGCACCTTTTGAATGGATTGCAGTGACGTTTTGTACGGATGGATGGATTCTAATGACTTCTACTATGTGATCCCATAACTTTTCTCTAGCTCACCCATGAGGATATTTTTAGCAGAATAAGATTTCTGAACAACTATTGGATGAACTGCAATAAAATCTGATGAATACACTCATATTCCCCCAGGATGAGTTTTAGCTAATGATCCCTTGAATTTTACCAAATGCCATTATTATGTCATGATCTTGACCAAAATGAATTACATTTCCATTAGCCTTAGTCATCTATTATTGTGCTTAGTGCTAATTCATAAATGCTAGGATGTTAACACACAAAACAATAATGGCAATAGTAGCAAACACTGTATGTCTGTTAGCATTGTCACTATAAGCATGTTAGCATGCTGATATTAGCATTCAGTTCAAGATAAGACTAGCAAAGGTGTAAACACCTCTTCAAATACATGTAATACAGCCCATTCTACAGTATGCATTTATATGTTCTGCACTGTATAGTAATACATTGTTGAATATTCTGAACACTGATATTTGTGTATTATTGGACTTTAACGGATGAACCTTTAGCCTCTTTTAGGCAAAAAAAACTGGTATACAATGTCAGTCCATATTTAATTAGTGTTGGGCTCTTTACTCAAACAATGTAATATATTACTAATTGTTCATTACACTTTTCAAAAATTATTATTACTTCACTTTTTACTCCCTGCCAAAAGTAACTTCTTACACTACTCATTATATTACTTTTCCATTACACCCCACAGATTGCTAACATCTTGCAAATGTTTTTTTTTTTTTTTACCTGGGGGTCTGCTGGTGCCTGCTGGTATTTTCCCAAGGATCTATCTGAAAGACGGAGTCAGTAGTAGAAATAGACAACATTTCATCCACCACATGTCCAAACAGAAGCTTCCTTAGTTCTTTGTTGCTTGTTGTAACCTGCTGTCAGCAATTAAAATCCAGTTTTGGTTGTTTAGCCACTGAAGGGCTACAGCCGTCCCCCGCAGCCAGAGAGGGCTCATCTATGTTGGGGTGTATGTCCACCAGCCTCACATTGTTGTGTTGTTTTAATAAGCGTTTCAAGACGTTTGAGGTCGTGTCTTACCTCAACCTGCATACAGTTTACATTTTACAGTAATGTTCTTATCACCTTTCATCTCGATAAAATCAAAGAATTTCCAGCACTTCCATCTTCCAAGCTAGGTTACTGCTTCTGGTGCTGCTAAATAATGCGTAGTGACGTGTGCACACACGATGCCTACAAATATTAAATATCGAATATCAAATCAATCTTTGCCACGGTGACAACAAAAGTAATGTTGTAACAAGTTATTTATAGAGGGATTAACTGTAATATTACTACTGAAATTTTATTTCTAACATTTATGTTATCACAGTAACACGTTGCTAGTAACATGTTACAACGCAACACTGAATTTAACCAATTCTAACAATCAGTTTACTCTTCCAAACTACATTTGGTTTTGGTAATGCAGAGTTTTACTTAAAGGGGCATAAAACCTTTTGCTGGTATCATTTCCACTTTTTGTCCCACTCTGGTCTAAAACAGCAGAAGACATTCATATGGAAAACTTTAAACTCTGTGTTAGATTCTCCCTCTACTAGCTGCTGGTAATGAAAGACTGTCTCAAAGCCTGCCTGTGATGTTTTAGGAACATCAAACAGGTGATTATGACTTTGCAGCTTCCACAGCTGCCAGGTGCTCTCCCTGTGGAGCCAGTTTTACTCTTTTATTTTGGACGTGAACAAGAAAATAACTGTCTTTTTTATCTGTAACATGAAAGAAACGTGCCCCTACAGGACTTTATGAATGAGTGTAGTTGCTTTTTTGTCATGTCCTTGGCACCGGAAGAGGTCATAGCATGGGAACAACATTGGTGCTATTTACATTCTTTGTTCAGCTACAAATTTAAAGAAAACATCTGAAAACTGAATGCTCTCCACTACACCCCTACAAATTCACAGAGTCCGTACATAAATATATTGAAGCTCTGAACCTTATTTTAGTTGCAGTTTAACATTAGAGATAATGATAGATGACATAAAATATCCTCATTGCTCACCTAAAAGGTATTTTCCTCAAGTCTCTAGAAACTACTATATAATTGTTCTTATAAAACATACAGAGAAAGTGAGAGAGAGTGTACTTTCCAAGATGTAGCCTATGTGAAGGGTTGTTATTGATGTTTGAATTGCATTGTTTCATCCTGAAATAACTTGATACACAGTGATAACATTTACCTCTGCTATCAGATTTTCTATTGGCCAAACTGTGCATTCACCACTGGGACCTACTATGTAACTAACAAGCAACAAACTGTCAGTACCAACTGAAAAAGCATAGAAAAATAAATAAATAAATAAATAATCTAATGGACTTGGTTTTTAGGTCGAAGACGTTTCACCTCTCATCCAAGAGGCTTCATCAGTTCTGACTGACTGGTGTTGAGCCGGAGATATTTATCCCCCTTGGTGGTGTATTGGGAATCAAAGGACTGAAACACCACCGATGGGGATAAATATCTCCGGCTCAATGCCAGTCGGGCAGAACTGATGAAGCCTCTTGGATGAGGGGTGAAATGTCTTTGACCTAAAACCAAAGAGAATCTACACGGACATGTCAATACCAACCTAGCCTGGGAGAACCGTTTGTCCCCCAGAGAGAGCTGGAGGGTGTGGCTAGGGAAAAGAAGATACTGTATGGGCTAGCTCGTTTATACTACTCAGCCTGCTGAGCCAACACTCTTATAATGTGCAGAAATAATTGATGCTTTTTGGAGGTTAATGTTTTTTTTTACCTCACTAAGTCTGCAGCATTCATCCATGTACTCCTCCAGGCTGTCACTGGTGGTCCTCCTCCTTATAGGTGCTGGCTCAAAGTCATTGCCTGTCATGTCATCACAGGTTCCTGTTAAGGATTGCTTCCCAGTTCTCATATCCTTTGAGCAGGTCCCTTCAGTTACAGAACTGTTTGTCTGTTCAGATGTCTCCTCATTTCCTTCAGGCCTGCTTCCTGAAGCCTGACACTGGACCATATCCATGCAATCACCTTTGTGCAGTTCTGCTCTCACAGCTGAAGAACTGTGTTCCTCTGAGTGTATAAACACACTGTCCTGAGTGACCACAGTTGTACTCAAACTGTTATCTAACAGGTCCTCTGGCTGTTTAATCTCTGAGCTCTGTGCATGTCTGCATAGTTTATCAGGGAGAGTAGTAGGGCCAGAGTTTAAGTTGCAGGAGCCACAGGAGGACTCTCGGCTGTGGACCACAAAGCTCTGCTCAGACTCTGTTGGGGTGGATGGAGAGTTAGCTCCACTAGGAAGCTCCACTCCAGAGTCCTCTGACTCAAACTTATACAGCCCTGGCAGCTGAGAGTCTGAAAAAATGGTGGGTAGGTAGTCTGAGCCAGACTCCATGTGAGGCTGTCTGGATTTGCTATCAAGGTGGGAATTCACCTTGGAGACTTTGGTGGGAAGCAAGATCTTGCGCTCGGCTCTGGAAATAGCGGACGTGGCAGTGTCAGCCATCAGGAGCCTCTCGTTGAAGTTGCTGAAGAGCTTAAGTTTTGTCAGGACAACCTCGCTGTCCAGTACTGTATTGCTGTCTCCTTTCCCTGATAAAGAAAAACAGATAAATAAATATACATTTATTCTAGCAACCAAATCTCAAAACATCCTTCAATAATATTTTGTAACTGCCTAAGTCGTTTCTATTCTGATGCCTTTATTGAAAGCATAACATTGCCTTCCAAAAGTTTGGTTAGGCAAAGATCATGGTTTGGGCTAAGGTTATAGGATGCTTATTGCCATGGTTAAAAACATATGTTTTGACAATTGAGGTCAGAGTTGAAAGAAACCAAAAGTAGTCTCTATATCATCTACAGCATACCTGGAGTGCCATTTTGTAATGTTGTCACAGTGTTAAATGTCTCTGATGTGCCTCAAATGAAACAAAAGACCTTGAATTACCTGAGCCAAATTTAAGTGTAGGCTAAGGCTGTCAAAAAGTGGGCTTGTTTGACTTGGGGTATTTCAGTTTCTGTCACATTACAGTATGTAATATCTGGCTGATGATGTTGATCCAGGTTTTGAACATCAACTGCCCATATGCAGAAAGCACTGGATATCTACAGTGATAGAGGACCAGTACAATTTGTCATTGTCCCAAACCCGAGTGTGCAGCTTTTATCTGAAGCTCTAGTCAGGACAGTTACAGGAAGTAGCCATACATGTGTTCTCCTCTTTCTCACTCACTTGAGCAATTTGATATGTTTCGCTATCAATCAAGTATCACTTTTTCCCTCTCTTCAAGGCTTTGAACTTTAAGAGAGCAAAAACAAGCATTCCCCTTTCCTTGGGGTAATGCAGGGGCCCTGATAAAGATTAGGGATTGTTACTGTATATTTGTTCTTGAAAGAAACATTCAGCTAAGTTTCATTTTGGAGTAATATGTAATTCCAGAGTGCTAGATCGCACTTAAACAATAATGAAGTTTGGGCAACTTCCTACAGAATGAATTGAAGATCTTGCTAAGGCAAATATGAGATTAAAACGTCTTGGAAGTGGTAAATCTGACAATTTTCCCTTTCTGAGGGGAACTTTGGAGGAGGGTGTCTTCAAGGGAAATTTCTCCAAAGCATATAGTGAGAATCTGAACAGAAGCAGAAGTGTTTGGCTACTTCCAAAGAGACACAGCAAAGTAAAAACAAAAGTAGATATGCAGTAAGCATGTGCAAGCTGCCACGTCCATCTGTGTGGCTCAGATGTGGCAGAGGGGATGTTGTGAATTTGAAGGGTGGAGGCCTGCACTTAATAATGAATGATTCACAAGCAGTTAGTTATAAACAGGATGATTACTGATTGGCTTAAGATTCCAACCTGGCACAACTGAAGATCATAAGTGTAAATTATCATTAAAATTGATAAATACCAAACAACCCAAATTTTGCTTATGAGGAAATTGGAAGTATATCAAATAGATGAATACTGTAAACCTGGGGTTAATTAAAGAAAAATGTCCTCAGAAAACATTTTGTTTTGATTACAAAGTCAATCACTCAACAAAACAGCAACACACCCGCATTTCCAAGAAAATAGCCGCTGTTTTGATGACCTCACTGAAGATTAGGAGCAGGTCTGCCAAAACACAAAGAGTTCATCAGCTTCTGTAGACTGTACCAGGCCTCTTCCCATGTTAAACAAGGGCTGTTTTTCTACTTTGCTTTTAGTGCAAAAACCAAGAGCCAGCAACTTTTAGTGGCTAAAGAGTAGCTTCCCTTTTTCACACAGTGCTAATTATGGCCAGAATTGAGCACTTAATCCAGTCTCTTCAAATAACAAATGAGCACAAAATGATAAATCAATGTGTACATCACCAATAATTAGTCTTCCATAAAAACAGCAGCACTGGTATTTTATTGCAGTGCGTTATATGACACATTTCCCTGACCAAGATCTCTAGAGGCTGTGTAAATTGGAATTGGAATATGAATTAATTATGAATTATAACTGTCAGGACAGAATGTCAGTGTCAGGTTGCTTTAAAAATGTCCATATTTCACAATGATGTCAAGGAGTAAACAGTGTGCTGCATTCTGAGATTTTTTTAGGGAGCTCTTTGGAAAAATGACATCGAGACCAAATGTGACGGAGAGTATGATGTGAGGGGGGCTTTTCTACTCAGAACAATGGTGTATCCTGATATCCTTATCTGGTGGCTCAAAATGCAGGGGTTTTAGTGTTTCAAGTTCAGAATCAAAAAAGCATTTTATTACAAGGCCAGCAAAGTTCAGCTGCCTTTTCACTATCGGAACCTAACGAACAGTATGACACTAGACTTCCTGCTTTGTTTTTCCAGTATATTTACTCTGTGTCGGTTTCTGCTCAGACAAGGGAGGGGCTGCTCACAGCTGAGCAGAGAGAGAACACACATAGTGCAACAATCAGCCAGTAACAGAGACTCTATGAGCAGCTGATCAAACAGCTGTTGAACAAGCAGAACACAAACCTGCAGAAATGTGACGTCTTCACTGGTTCCACTCGCTGAAGTCCCTGTTTTACCCTTAAACCAGTGAGTGTGCTTACACAGCGTGCTTGTAATGCTAATGACTGAGGTGTGAAGATGCAGACATTTAACCAATCACGAGCAACTGCTCTGCATACACCCATTCCTTCCCCCCTCATGTCCCTGGAAGCTGATTTTTATGATACCTCATGAGGGGTGCTGAAACTTAGGTCCCAGAACCCATGCTGAGTGTTATTTGGCTTCACACATTTCTGTAGGTTCCTGCAATGGAAAAACCCCTTTAGACACCTGAGAGCGTTTGTACTTCTTGACCAGCTGCATCACCGTCTGGTACGGCAGCACTACTGCTATGGACCGCAAGCGCCTGCAGAGAGTGGTAAAGACTGTGGAGAAGATCACCAGGACTCCACTGCCCTCTCTGCAGAGCATTTACCACTGCAGGGTGCATAGGAAGCCTCCATCCTCAAAGACCCCACCCATCCCCAGCACGGACTGTTCATACCCCTACCCTCTGGTCGGAGGCTCAGAAGTGTGAAATGCAGGACCGCTAGACTGAAAAACTCTTTCTGACTGCCATCAGACTCCTAAACAGTTGACTCAGGATCTACCTCATGTAATTCCATCTGTACTGTTTACATACTCAGTTTGCACATGCACAGTTGCACACTCACTCACTGTGGTTTACACTCCACAGCTCCCACGTAGCACATATTCTCTCTGCATTATATTGTGTTCTTGTTGTATTTTATTTGCTTCTTTCACTTGCTGCTTAAAGTGCCTTAGATTTGTGTTACTTATTTATCTACTTTATATTTCATTTGTATTTTGTGGCATTCATGTGGACGGCAAAGTAAGAATTTCATTGTACAGGGAAACATGTTTCCTAACTGTGCATATGACAAATAAACACTTTGACCTTTGACCTTGACCTACATAGTGTAGCTACCGCTAGCCTAAATCTGCATTTATGTAGAGTTCTAGGCAGTCTGTGATTATATAGTGACAATGTTTAGTTTGAAATATTAGTTTACTTAAGGGATCTCACATTTTTTTGTCATGGTGTACTGAAAATAACATTAATGCTACATCCTTTACTAACTAATGTAACTAAGCTGTTCTTTTTGCATGATACATAGCTACAGTAGCTGCTTGACAACTGTAATGTTAAGACAGTGGATTAAAACACATCCTGATCTTATTGAGACTTCCTGAATTAATACATAAAGTAACTAAATAAACTAACTAACCAGCTACATTAGAAGCTACTAATGTAAGTTTTAATGGCGCTTTTGCGCTAATGGCTTAATTAATATGTGGTTATACTAATGTTATGGTTGTCAATTGAATACCACCACTTCTGTGTACCACACAAAAAGAAGAGCTGAATGTTTATGCTAGTAGATGATGTCGCATTATCAGTGTGATGACAATAGAGAAATCCCTTAAATAAAATCTGTACATTGGACTCTCTGACTTAACCCTATAGAACCATTTGTATCATATTTGCTACATGAGTTTCTGAACAAAGAAAATTGCCAAAAATGCCCCATGTATCAAATGTGATACAAAAAAAAATAAAAAATAAGCAAAATAATATAGCACATTTATTCCTATATGCCTGGACTGTCTGTCTATGCATAAATGGCAAATAAAAATCTTCAACAAGCTTTCTCTAACCTTAACAAAGTAGCTTTTGTGCCAGGTCATATATTACCCAGAATCAAACAACATTTCTGTGAGAGTTGTAACAGTCATTTGTAATAGTTTTGGAAGAACTGAGTATCTATGTCATCCTCTCCAAAGAGGCAAAGCAGAAAAAGGTTGTATTATCATTCTTTTTAGAAAAAAAAAACAAATTATATAATTTACTATTTGCTTCTTGGAATATTCACAGCAATTCTACACAGATGCTGTTGTGATGTGGTGAGCTCTTCTTGGGGGAATCAGAAAAAACATGCAGGAAAAGGGTTAAACTTTAGCTTTTGACTCTCAAAATAATTACCTTCTGTGTAAGCTAGAAAACTCATTTCCTGTTTTTGACGAATCTTGGAAAAACTAGTAGAATGCACGCAGCTATTTCCATTGTGGCGTCAGCAAGTCACAATTGAGGCATATTGTTTCTCCCAGTGACCTCACTGTGTGGAGTAAATTGAAACTCATTGTGTGTTCATGTCTATAACCTAAATTAGTGTTTATAGTCTGTGGAGCATTGGCTCTGAAAAACAGTCAACACCAGAGTGTGGTGTAGTGAGTCTTCAGCAATATATACAATAGTGCTTGCAGCTGACAAAGACATAAAGAGTACATTTTATTATTTCAGCTTAGATTCCTGCAGTTTTTCCCTGAAGCCTACTGCTCTGGCATACATTTGTATAAATGTTTGTCAGAGGCT